CCTCTGCAAACTAGTGAACATGTTACTCTGTAAGGGTGTTATGAGGCTAAATTAATTATTTGCCAAAAAAAAAAAAAAAAAAAAAAAAAGCTTGAAAGACAATATAGGTCAGAAACCGAGGGAGTTACATAGTGCAGCCTTATAACCTCATACTTGGTCCCTGCAAGAGTTCCACTCCTGTCTAACACAATGATTTTTAATGTACTCTCTGGGCAGCACCAGCACCACTTTTGCATGGAAACCTACTTGTTTTAATTGTTAGACCTCTGTACCCTGTATCTTCCTTCTTCTTTCTTCCTTTCTGGTCACAGTGTTAACACTAGAGGTTAATCTCCTGTAGTGTTTGAGTATTTGATGTTTAAACTGTCTTGTATGCTGATCCTCAAGTTATATGAACCTGAAGATAAGAAGAGAGAACCACTGAGGCTTTTTCCATCTGTATTTATCTCTTTATCTCTATCATGTTCACCTGTGATTCTCTGGCAAAAGCACAATCTTCTTTCCTCCATTTGCCAGTTTGTTAAATTGGTCTAAAAAAGCCAGCTGCCTGCAGATATGACGTGAACAGTGTTTCTTAAGTGCTTTGGGACCCTCAGCTTTGGATGCTGGTGGAGACGGCTCTGATCACTCCTTCTGCTTGTCTAAACATACAGATACATGACTTTTTTCAGCTTGCTCCAGTGGAATCTCTTAAATATGCATTCTCTTTCTGCATCATATCTCATTTCAGTCTTCTCTGCCCCATTGGCTTCCAGTTCTGTGATCATCACCCTAACCCCCAATTATTTTTTTCTAACATCTCCTCTGCTGGTGCCTCTGTCTATTAACACCTCTGCTCTGCCTGTGAATACAGCTGCATCGCCTCCATCTCTTTTACATCTCATTACAGCAGCTCCTTCTGAGCTGACCTCCCCAGGACTAAGATTCCTAGGTACCAGTTTTCATACGCTGTCTGATTTCCTCCTATGTGCCGAAAAGCTCCACTGCAGCACTCAATCCACAAGGACTCTATTCCGTTCCATTACCATCCCATGGAGTTGCTTCCGACTTCGTGCCCTTCATATCCCTTCCTGCATCTTTCTTGTGTCCCTTTTTTTTTTTTTCCTACAGCACTGCCCCTTCTCTCCACAAATAGCAGCACTCTTGGTTTGCCATTGGAAGCAGACTTCCTGCAGCTCCCTGTCTCATCAGCTTCTCATTTCAAGTAATTTAAAATGTAATTTAAAATCTCTCTATTTCCTCCAGACTATTAATTTCTCTCTCCTTACTCCTCTGTAGATGTCATTCTGCGTTGCGCTGTTCGGTAGGATGCGACTGTTGTAAAAATCTGCCACAGTGTTTCTATTCTGTATTCTTGTCTGGTATTATCATTTTTAATGATTCTTTGTAGAAAAGATGAAATCTCAGCACAGCATCTAGCCACGGCACAAGCAGTCACACAGGACATTCTGGCATTTGCATTGCCTTTGTTCCATTCTTCTCCTGTGGCGTTTGGAACTGCAGAGGGATTATTGTGAATGGTCTAAGAGTATATAAGTAGGGTAGCAGGAAGAGAATTATTTCTGGAAATTGGGAAGTGTGAGGCAGGAAGCCCTGTTTCATCCTGATCTTGAGATACACTGAACCCTTGTAGGTCTCTCTTAGCCAGAGATTAAAGAACTTACCACCCAGCAAACCTAGCCTTCTTTCACTGGCAGTTTCTTTGGGGAGAACATGCCCCTCCCATGTCGCTGTAGCCACTTGAAACCAAACTTGTCAAAGCTGTAGAAATATACAATAAAGGCACGAGTTCTGCGTTGGTTTGAGGGTCTCGGTTTTGGCCCAGCTGCTGCTTCATCCTCTCTATCTGATTGGACTTGTTAAATGTAAAGATAAGTACTCCTGACATTTCCACAGTATTTTTTCTGGTTCAAGGTGAAATCCATGATTTCTCACAGTGTCGGGGTGCCTTGCAAGCCCTAATCCACAACCTATGCAGTGACTGGCTGTGCAGACCAGTATACCCTTGACCCAAAGCAGCGCAACCATTTGTGGCAGTAAAAGAATCACTCCACCACATGGGCTACACAGATGACCCCTAAGTGCAGACACACACATCCCTTCTCTCCCTCTCCTCTTTGAGTGTATAAGTATGAGTGAGCTTTCAAAGGGTCTGAGATCTTTTTGCTTCCACTTTAGCCAGGTTGCTTGTGTGACATCACTACAAGAGCTGTGCTAAACCTTTTTTGAGACTACAGAGTAACTGAGGAGACCACCTTCCATGGATCTGTGAGCTCCACGCGTTTCCCCAGTGCCTTTCCCATCCACACATGTGGTGTTGGTGCCTGATGGATCTGAGTGCCAGAACAGCCAGCTGAAGTTTTTTTCAGAGACTTTTCAGAACTTCAAAGTTCTTTCAGGTTCTTGACCCAGCTTTTCTACCCTCCTTTGAAGAACGAGAAGAATTGAATACTGGAGTGGGGCTGGAGGGGCACGAGCACCAACACAAGAATAAAATGGCTCAGAGTCCCAAGAATTACTTATTCCTCCCTTATGCCTTCCCTCTTCAAGGCCCCTTCCTTCTTTTCAGTGGAAATGTCTCAGAAGGGAAGCAGAGGTCCTCACATGATCTTCTCCAGCTTCCCCAGTTAAGAGGCTCACAGAACCTCCTCCTCACCACAGGCCATCCCTGTAGAGCCATAATCTCCCACCAGCTTAGGGATGTTCTCTGCATCTCTCTGCCTCTCAAATTCTTTTGAACCAAGAACAACACTTCAGAGAACCAGTCCCCAGCTGCCATCCTCCACGCCCTTGCAGCAGGCTGTACCCAGAGTGCTAAAATTGCACTGGGGCCACGACCACCCCGTTGTCTGTTCTCAGCTGTTTGGCAGCAATGTGAATGCAGAAAGAGACCCCCAACTCTTGTAGCAGAAGGTATAGACAGGAGTCCACCAGGTGGGCCTAGGTTTGTCTCCCCCAAAATGTGTAATCTGTCAGCTGCTGTGTCCCCTACCACCCCTCCCTCTATCCCTTCTCCTCTCTCCCACAGGGCCTTTCCAGCTATCTGCATGTGGCTGATGCCAAACCTCCTCAGTGCTTGCTGGTAGACACCCCTATCTCTGTCTAAACTGCGAGGGCAGCCTGCTCTGTGCCCTCCAAACTGGGGAAGTGGTCAGTAGGGGAGCCAGCAGCTCCCCTGCTACTTACTACAGACCCCTTCCTGCCCAGCAGTCCTGGGGGACACTGTCTCAAAAGGGCAGTCCAAGTCTGCACCCAGAGAGGGAAGAAGAAGGAGAAATAAATAAATTTATTTGCAACGTGGGTGAAGTCCTGCAACTGAAATCAACTTCCCAGCACCCCCTTCCCTCAGCCCCACTCCCGTGCACAGAACAGCAGTGAACCTAAAGCAGCTCTTCTGGTCTCTCTTTCACTGAACAATGAACCCGATCAGAGAGCAACCGAATGGGTAGCATCAAGAATTAGATTATTTCTTTTCTTTATGATTGTTGCACTAATGAGCAGCTACGTGTGTAGAACCAGGAGGTGACTAATGTAATTAACCTGGTGTAATGATACTGCTGAGGAAGAGAGAAAGGATTATGACATACTTAGATGTCAGTATTGCACTATTTTGTATACATTCCTGGTACTATCGGGTTGTGTCTGCCCAGGAAACTTAAGCAGTGATAAATTTCATTCTGCATCCGTTCAGCTCATGCATCTTTCTGTGTAAAACGAGGATATGAAAGGCAGATTACTTTCCGGGCACTGGGAGGGTGAGGGGGGGAGAAGGGATTCAGTTTGCTGGTTCCTTTCCTTCGCAGAATAATAGTAACAATCACAAACTGTCCTTTCTCGTGAAGAATCTTCCCAAAATGTCTGCTTCTTGGAGCAGGCGTTGGGATTTCACAGAAAGCTGTGAAGACAAAGTCAGAACGCAGGGATTCACACAGCACTGGTCAGGGGGAGGCAGAGGGACAGGAAACCAGCAACACCAAAACATATGCAACTTGCAGCGAAACCCGAGAAGAGGGAAGAGCGAGCACTCAAAAGAAAAAAAAAAAAAATCGTGACAACAGCAACGATAACGGCAATAAAAATGCTTATTTTTTTAAAATTACCCTTCCACATCACATTTCACCTGCCTCCCGGGGAGAGAAACGCCTGACCGAAGTTTTTCGCGGGTCTGACTGCGGCGTGTGCGGGTTCCGCGCCGCTCTGGGCGATGCGGGGCAGGCTGGGGCGGGGGGCGCGGAGCAGCTGGGGGGCAGCAGAAAGCGAGAACGAGAGGGGAGAGCCCCAGCTTCTGCTTCTCTTTGGCGGGTGGGGGACAAGGCGAGCGAGCAACCCTTCCTTCCCGGGGCTGCCCGCGGCGGGGCTCGGCGCTGGGAGGGAGGGGGGGT